CACATCTTCTCTTTGTTTCCCGGGCCTCTAGTGAGTTACAGACAGAGTTCGAAAAGGTCAAATCTTTGATGATTCCATCATCTATGATTGAGTTGGGAAAACTTCTGGATAGGTATCCTACATCTGCACCGAATTCTTTCTGGTTAAAGAATCTCTTTCTAGTTGCTCTGGAACAATTAGGAGATTCTCTAGAAGCAATACGGGCTTCTGGCGGCAACATGCTTGGTCCCGCTTATGGGGTCAAATCAATACGTTCTAAGAATAAATATTTGAATATCAATCTCATCGATCTCATACCAAATCCCATCAATCGAATCACTTTTTCGAGAAATACGAGACATCTAAGTCACACAACTAAAGAGATTTATTCATTGATAAGAAAAAGAAAAAACGTGAATGGGGGTTGGATTGATGATAAAGAAAGAGAATTCTTGGTTCAGTTCTCCGCCTTAACGACAGAAAAAAGGATTGATCAAATTCTATTGAGTCTGACTCATAGTGATCATTTATCAAAGAATGACTCTGGTTATCAAATGATTGAACAACCGGGAGCAATTTACTTACGATACTTAGTTGACATTCATAAAAACTATCTATTGAATTATGAGTTCAATACATCCTGTTTAGGAGAAAGACGGGTATTCCTTGCTCATTATCAGACAATCACTTATTCACAAACTTCGTGTGGGACTAATACTTTGCATTTCCCATCTCATGGAAAACCCTTTTCGCTCCGCTTAGCCTTATCCCCCTCTAGGGGGATTTTAGTGATAGGTTCTATAGGAACTGGACGATCCTATTTGGTCAAATACCTAGCGACAAACTCCTATGTTCCTTTCATTACGGTATTTCTGAACAAGTTCCTGGGTAACAAGCCTAAAGGTTTTCTGATTGAGGATATCAATATTGATCCTAGTGACAATATCGATGGTGACCTTGATACTACGCTGGAACTGCTAACTATGATGAATGCGCTAACTATGGATATGATGCCGAAAATAGACCGATTTTATATCACCCTTCAATTCGAATTAGCAAAAGCAATGTCTCCTTGCATAATATGGATTCCAAACATTCATGATCTGGATGTGAATGAGTCGAATTACTTATCCCTCGGTCTATTAGTGAACCATCTCTCTGAAAGATGGTTCACTAGAAATATTCTTGTTATTGCTTCGACTCATATTCCCCAAAAAGTGGATCCCGCTCTAATAGCTCCGAATAAATTAAATACGTGCATTAAGATACGAAGGCTTCTTATTCCACAACAACGAAAGCACTTTTTCACTCTTTCGGGATCTCACTTGGAAAAGAAAATGTTCCATACTAACAGATTCGGGTCCATAACCATGGGTTCCAATGCAAGAGATCTTGTAGCACTTACCAATGAGGCCCTATCGATTAGTATTACACAGAAGAAATCAATTCTAGACACTAATACAATTCGATCCGCTCTTCATAGACAAACTTGGGATTTGCGATCCCAGGTAAGATCGGTTCAGGATCATGGGATCCTTTTCTATCAGATAGGAAGGGCTGTAGCACAAAATGTACTTCTAAGTAATTGCCCCACAGATCCTATATCTATCTATATGAAGAAGAAATCATGTAACGAAGGGGATTCTTATTTGTACAAATGGTACTTCGAACTTGGAACGAGCATGAAGAAATTAACGATACTTCTTTATCTTTTGAGTTGTTCTGCCGGCTCGGTCGCTCAAGATCTTTGGTCTCTACCCGGACCCGGTGAAAAAAATAGGATCACTTCTTATGGACTCGTTGAGAATGATTCGGATCTAGTGAATGGCCTATTCGAAGTAGAAGGCGCTCTGAAAGATTGCAGTCCGTTTGATAATGATCGAGTTCCATTGCTTCTTCGACCCGAACCGAAGAATCCCTTAGATATGATGCAAAATGGATCTTGTTCCATCTTTGATCAGAGATTTCTCTATGAAAAATACGAATCGGAGTTTGAAGAAGGGGAGGGGGAAAGAGCCCTTGACCCGCAACAGATAGAGGAGGATTTCTTCAATCACATAGTTTGGGCTCCTAGAATATGGCGCCCTTGGGGCTTTCTATTTGATTGTATCGAAAGGCCCAATTCATTGGGATTTCCCTATTGGTCCAGGTCATTTCGGGGCAAGCGGATCATTTATGATGAAGAGGATGAGCTTCAAGAGAATGATTCGGAGTTCTTGCAGAGTGGAACCATGCAGTACCAGACACGAGATCGATCTTCCAAAGAACAAGGCCTTTTTCAAATAAGCCAATTCATTTGGGACCCTGCCGATCCGCTCTTTTTCCTATTCAAAGATCAGCCCCCTGGCTCTGTGTTTTCACATCGAGAATTCTTTGCAGATGAAGAGATGTCAAAGGGGCTTCTTACTTCCCAAACAGATCCTCCTACATCTATATATAAACGCTGGTTTATCAAGAATACACAAGAAAAGCACTTCGAATTGTTGATTAATCGTCAGAGATGGCTTAGAACCAATAGTTC